GCCCATTCAGGGTGGGAGCTGGACTCCACCCGTTGTCACAGATTCTGTTCATAACCTTATGGACAGAATTTCTCCGTGCAGTCAGGGGGCGGAGGGATTCCATCTCTGTTCTTTGCAGATGATGTGGTCCTGTTGGCGTCATTGTGCCGTGATCTTCAGCTCTCACTGGAGCAGTTCACAGCTGAGTGTGAAGCTGCTGGGATGAGAATCAGCACCTCCAAATCTGAGGCCATGGTCCTCAACCGGAAAAGGGTGGATTGTTCTCTTCAGGCCGTGGCTGAGGTTCTGCCTCAAGTGGAGGAGTTCAAGTATCTCGGGGTTTTGTTCACGAGTGACAGAAGAATGGAGCGTGAGATTGACAGATGGATTGGTGCAGCATCTGCAGTATTGTGGACTCTGTACCGGTCCATTGTGGTGAAGAGGGAGCTGAGCTGTAAGACAAAACTCTCTGTTTACAGGTCAGTCTACGTTCCTCCCCTCACCTCTGGTCATGAGCTCTGGGTAGTGACTGAAAGAATGAGATTGTGGATCCAAGAGGGTGAAATGAGTTTCCTCTGCAGGGTAGCTGGACTCTCCTTAGAGACAGGGTGCGAAGTTCAGTTATCAGGAGAGACTCGGAGTAGAACCACTGCTCCTCCACATCCAGAGGAAACAGTTGAGGTGGTTCAGGCATCTGGTAAGGATGCTCCCTTGGCGCCTCCCTAGGGAGGTGCTTCAGGCATGTCCAAGCGGGAGGAGACCCCGGGGAAGACCCAGGACATGCTGGAGAGACTATGTCTCAGTTGGCCTGGGAACACCTTGGGGTCCTCCAAGAAGATCTGGAAGAGGCTGTGGAAAGAGACGTCTGGGCCTCCCTGCTCAAGCTGCTGCCCCCGAGACCTGAGTCCAGAACAAGTGGAAGATGATGGATGGATGGACGTCAATTTTTTTCAAAGCTGTTATAACTATTTTTAATATTACGTTTATTACCTATTATTTTCAACATTTCAAACTAACATTGTGTCTTAAAATACAAATCATTCAGAAGAAGTTCCTTAAAAACTGCAGTTTCAATCTGTACTAAAATTATATTATTTTACATTAAATAAAAAGGCTTGCAACCAGGTCAGTTTTTTAAAAAAAGCATTTTTTTAATCACAGTCGATACATCAAACTGATCTGTATCCATGGAATTGCACAATACAAAAACAAAAAACAAAACAATAACATTAAAATAGGTATTGCATCTTGTAAGAGCTCATTCTACATTCATGGATCTCATTTCAGTTCACTGTAGTTTCTTACAACAGAATCACAGTTCCTCTCTGAACAGCCATCATTCTTACATGTCCATGAGTTTAACGAGACACAAATGACAATCGGCAGACATTCTGTGGTGCTGAAAACCACTATTGGATCTCTTAAGGTACAACACTGAAGGTTGAGAGTTCATCCTATCGCAGCCGACAGGAGGAGCACAGCTGATTCTGGTGAAGCAGAGCTGTAATGTGGTCCAGCACAGACGAGGAGATGACGTCTTTGATCCACTGAGGCCTGGAAACAAGAGAACATGCTGTTCTGGTGACTTTCACATTTTAGAACATTCAGCTGCTGTCAAAGAAGTGTGTGTGTGTGTGTGTGTCTCTGTGTGTGTGTTTCCAGTGTAGTCAGCAGTCAGTTTAGACAACAGTGTAATTGTTAGTCCATGAGAGAAGAGCAGTAAAATGCATTTTTAACATCTCCCGACAGTTCAGTGCAGGAACATCAGAAACAAAGGTTTTGTTCAGTTCAATTCAAATTCACTTCAGTTTATTTCTATAGCTGCTCCAAGTCACAACAGAAGTCGTCTCAGGGCACTGAACGAAACATTCACATAAAAGCCAGTTAGTAGAAGTGATGTGTGTAAGGAAGCAGCAGATGGAGTTGAATCTTCACTTCGTTGCAGTCTCCCATCACACGAACAGGAATGTTTTTACTCCTCCAAAACAATCATTTAATTTGTTTCTAAAAATGTTCTTAACGGAACGAAAGCTTTCATCTTATTGTTACGTCTGCCACAGTTGGGTCAAAGGACAGTGTGTGTTGTCGTCATTGTATATTTCCATACAATGATGAAAAAAGTATCCAACATTTTTCAGTCTGGTCACCTGGACAGTTTCTTTTTTTGTGCTGAAACGTTTCGCCTTCGATCTGGAAGGCTTCATCAGTCAGGGAAGATTGATTTCCTTGACTGATTACTATTGTTTAGCGTATTAAAAAAACAATAATAATGTAATATAATACGGTGTATTAAACAGCAGCCTGAAAAGGAGTCTGTTGTGAGCAGATGGATCTGAATACAGCGGCTTAAAGGCAAGAAAGGTGGCACAGAGCTGAAATCATGACATTCTGTGTGCTCTTTTAGAGCGTTTAGTTTAGAAACATTTAGAAATATTGCAAAAGTGTTGGAAGGGTTTAAAACAC